ATATCATAAAAATGGGAGTGAGAGACATCTAGAACTGAAAGCGGCAATTAATTAGTTGCCAACCCAATTGATTGAACGTTTTTACACACAGTACATATTTATACATTAATTTGCAGAAATTGACATGAAATAAAAAAATAGAAACTAAAAGGAAATTAAATGATCAGTGTGATTGTACCGATGTTTTTTTATATGAAGATTATTACACGTTCATACGGGTTAATAATAATAACAAGATACTATTACCGTAAAAATTAAAAATGCAAATGTGGCCACTTGATAGCTTCAACATGAAATTAGCTATATTAATTTTTCGAATGGTATTAAGAATCGATCTCGCGACCTAAAATTTTGAAAAAATTCACTGTTACGTATGCCGTCAGGTAGGCTAACATTAATTTTTTCGCAATTTGTCGTTACAAAGAACAAGAGAAACAAGAGCTTAATCTATGTAACAATTCTTGTAGGAGGAAAATTTATTATCGAATAATATCAACAAAGGTCAATTTGGTTTGAAGACGCATTTGACAATCTTTGATACATCACCATTTTTCTGTTTTGACTCGTTCGTACATAAAATTAATTGGAATGTAATGAAAAACTGAGAGAAAATTGAATTAAGAACAACTATCAGAAAATTGATCAAGGAATTAATATCGATACTTAACAGTAATTTAATGGTGTACTAAAAATGATTATTTTACATTAATTTATAAAGATAACAAGAACGTGTGTATTCCAATTTTTATAACGATATGTGCCTCGAAAATCTCAATAATACAATTTACAGTCAATCGTAAAAATCGCTGTACGCGTGCATTTCGAATACAACAAACATAAAATCGAAGGTTTTGAATATTTTCATTAACTAAACTATTAGTTGAAATTAAACGGATCCGAAAGGAAAAGTACCGTGACCTTATGTTTTTTTGTTACAGAGTACAAATAGACTGAAAGAGTCATAGGTACATACAAGGTGATTCACTTAAATTGAAGATCTAATTTATTTCCGTTATTACGAAACATAGGAAGAAATGACAAAATAGTATTCAAATGGTTTCGAAGCGTGCATCTGACGATATTAAAGAATCGTTCTACCATTGTCAATTTAATGATTTTTTTTAAGTCATCGACATTTTCTTTGCACATTAATGTTCATTTTTTATAGTATAGCGTTGTTGCTGGCATAAAAACGAGTTAAATAGCCTGTATTATCATGACCTTGAGATAACCTTGACAATTAAAAAATGAGTTTAAAGAATACTGAAACGGTGTAAACTTACCTTATTTGATTACAAATACTCGAAGTGCCGAGCACCGTTTTATGTTCTTTAAATTTTAACTCACTTTTTAATTGTCAAAGTCATGGTATTATATATCATTGAACTGGTATTGATGCAAGTAACAACAACGTGCTATAAAAAAGCAAACGTTACTAAGCAAAAGAAGTCGATGCTCTTGAAAAAAGATCATTAAAATGACCTTAGTAGAACGGTTCCTTTTTATCATCATGTGCACGCTTCGAAACCATTTAAATTCTATTTTATCATTTTTTTCCTACCTTTCCTAGTAACGGAAATAACTTAGATGTTCTGATCGAGTGAACCACACTGTATATGAAAAATAGCAGTGGACTTATCAAAATAAACAACAATTTTTATTTCAATAATGATAATGATTATAATATATTAAATTTTATGAATTCGAATACATAATACTCCTCCTGACTATTAAATTTCGTGAATTTAATTTTCCGATCGTTCAAATCAAACGAAAGTAAGGAAACTTCACTATGTTCAAAATCTCTTCTATTTTAAACCAACACACCAGTTAGCGATCGTAAAATGTGCGAAATAGTTTTGATTTAAAATGCGAGAATTTCGTCAGATGTATGTAGATCTCTAATTATAGGAAAAAAAATTCAAGAATATATTTTATAAACATTAAATTTCGCAAGCAAATAGAATGTAACCACATAAATCCTCAAACATTCCTTATCTTCTTGACTTTCTAAATCCGCTTCTCCTCTTTCGCCTCGGGATTCATTTCGAATTCGCATAGGTACGTTGAAATCCTCTCCGGACCTCGGTGATGATTTAACAGATTATGTAAACAGCATAATAACTGTCGGCAAGCTTCATAAACCGTCGTACCAAAAATACGTTTTGCGTTCACAGAAAGAAATATTATGAAAGAAGCGTCGACTGTGCATCTAGTCTCTGATTCTATATGCGTTTATAAAAATACTTAAAACGCGATAAAATCAGGACTGTCGCAAGGATGGCACAGATTACTCAGATTTAGTTGTTGACTGCTCGTCAAAAGAAGACGGCGTTTAATGAGCAAACAAAACGCGCGTATCTTATGGCGATTTTTGCACGACGTGTATGTACGAAAATTTACTTTATTCTCTAAAAATATATTTAAACAATACAAAACTAATACGAGAAACTTCTGGAATTACAAGTTTACCTACGATCAGTGAGGGTTAAAATGACTCATATCGGTACATGTAATAGGTATGCTACATACAATATTACAACAAAAAGACAAGAAAAAAGAAAACTGTTTGACATAATTAATTATTTACATAATTTAGAAAAAGTCGTACAAAATTTTAAAAACAAAATATACTGAAAATGAGAAATGATTATAAACAATGCCAAATAAATCATATTGACATCTCTTGATCTAGTGTTAAAATAATCAGTTACATGTGTATTTCTAGAAAAAAAGACTTTAGCGTTTAAATATCACACAAGCACCCTCTGCAATCGAGTGGAGGACTCTGAGACGCCATAAAAAACTGTTATATCACGTTCCAAAACAATTTTAACATCATCTGTGCACAAATTGCGCGAAGTGTAAGTATTATTTCAATCAAAATTTAATGTCGAATGTATAAAATGCAGTAAGTTATATCAAATGAAAATATTCGAAGTTAGAGAAACTATTTTAGATTTCGAGTTGAAATGGCTTCGAATGCAAAGGCTTAATCTGCTGGATAGGACACTCTAGATAGCCTTACTGATGAGACTCCAGCGGGCCCAAGACGCAACACCCCCCCTCTTTTCCTCGAATTCAGCCATCATCCACAGCGTCGCCAAAAGTTCATAAAAATTTCGTAATTTCGTTAATTTAAAATACGTACACGATTAAACTTGGTGACTGCGAGCTGTTACAATAAATTCGTCGAGGCAATTTCGGACTGGTTTAAAACGTGCGTCTGTTAAACGATGTTGCAGCGACCTAAACAACTGGTAATTGGATGGAGCCATGTCAAGCGAATAAGCAGCATGAGGGAGAACTTTTCAGCCCAAGGGGAAGATGACATCCTTTGTCGCTTCTGCTGCATGTGACACGCGTTGTGATCAAGCAAATTCAGTTGACATTTACCTCGACCAGTAAATGGACTTCTTTGCTTTACTTCATCGTGCAAGTTGAGAAGATTCTACCGGTCGATTTTTCTAGGAAAATCTTTTCTTAAGTGTCGTCATATGGAATTTGATAATTTCATCGAAATTTCTATCATTGATAATTCTTATGAACAATCGAAGCGAATTTCTCACACAGATAACTATAATGAGCAACAAAATTAAAGCTTTTATCGTCGATAACTGTTATGAGCAATACAAATAAACTTTCAACGCAGATAACTATTATGAGCAAGAGAATTAAAGTTTTAATCAGCGATAACTGTTAGGAGCAACCGAAGTGAATTTCTCACACAGCTAACTATTATGAACAACAAAATTAAAGTTTTTATCGTCGATAACTGTTATGAGCAATCGAAATAAACTTTCAACATAGATAACTATTATGAGCGAGAGAATTAAAGTTTTAATAACCGGTAACTGTTATGAGCAATACAAAGTGAATTTCTCACACAGATAACTATTACGAGCAACAAAATTAAAGCTTTTATCGTCGATAACTGTTATGAGCAATCGAAATAAATTTTCAACGCAGATAACTATTATGAGCGAGAGAATTAAAGTTTTAATCAGCGATAACTGTTTTGAGCAATACGAAGTGAATTTCTCACACAGATAAGTATTATGAACAACAAAATTAAAGCTTTTATCGTCGATAACTGTTATGAGCAATCGAAATAAATTTTTAACGCAGATAACTATTATAAGCGAGAGAATTATAGTTTTAATCACCGATAACTGTTATGAGCAATACGAAGTGAATTTCTCACACAGATAAGTATTATGAGCAACAAAATTAAAGCTTCTATTGTCGATAACTGTTATGAGCAATCGAAATAAATTGCTTACAGAGGTAATTATTATGAGCGACAGAATTAACGTGCCTCTCATCGATAACAATTATGAGCACTCACAGATAACTATTATGAGCAACAGAATTAAAGCTTCCATGGTCAATAACCGTTATGAGCAGCTAAAATAAATTTTTCTTGCAGAAGTAATTATTATAGACAACAGAATTAACGTGACCCTCATCGATAATTGTTATGAGCAATCGAAATGAATTTCTCACACAGATAACAATTATGAGCAACAGAATTAAAGCTTCCATTGTCGATATCTGTTATGAGCGTCTAAAATAAATTCCCTACAGAGATAACTATTATGAGCAACAGAATTAATGTTCTTAAACTCTTCTTAAACTAATATTCTCAATGTTTGAAATTTCACATATCCATTCTTCTTATAAATTCATAAAGATCCGCGGTCTAGTTATGTGCAACCAAAATAGAGTCTCCCTCAACGATAATCATTATCAGCAGTGAAAGTCATTCATAAATTATCATTTGTCACAAAAAACATTTTGATCGAATAAATAATTATTATTCTATTACCGTTTTCCATTTCTGTTGTAACAGTTGGGCTCTCTCTAATAAACACGTTTTTGTTACCGATTCGTGCCACCAAAATTCGTAAAACAACTGGTGAAGTATCACTTGGAACGAAAAACGACGAAACGCCAAAAAGTTCAGCGAACACCTAATAATAGTATAACATGAGACTTACAACGTGTCTGATGTGTTCCGGAACCCCATTAGTTAGAATCTCTTCCGTCGCGCCGGTGGCACCGGGTTCCTGTGGGGGTGGGGTGTCGACGAGGAAGGGAGACCTCGGCGGTTCTTCGCTCTGCGTCCTGTGAAGTGGCTCGTGTTCCGTTTCCTCCTTCCCCGTTGCTCCGGCTTGACCGCCGCCCAACGGCGTGCCCAGCTGACCAGCCTCCGAGTAACTTTTCGTTAATTTTCTTCCATTGAACAGGCCGTTTGTCTGGGCGCCCTGCGAGACCATTTTCACGCGATGTATCGTCCTGGGACTGAGCCGGACAGGAACTCGTCCACGGAACACGGCCGGCATTTCCGTTTGGGTCGCCTGGGTTTTCATCGCGCCGCGTTTCGGTGGCTTCTCTGAAACGAAATTCACGGTAATTCGGTGAAAATCGTTGACCAACCACGCTCGCCGCGAAAAAAGCTATTAAAACTTTCAACGATTCCAGGGATATTTCGTTAAGTAGGGAACCGGTGAACACGTACCCGCGAACTCGAATCTCCGCACAGTGGGGCAAGAGGCACCCAACAACAGAGGAAAACAGTTTCTAACTGAAATCATATATATATTTGTATACAATTTCTTGATATCTTACTAAAACTAATGCTGTGTATTATTCAGGTCAAATAGATGGAAAAAGCTCAAATAAACTTATGCCCGGAAGTGCTGTATTGAAAAGATATAAACGTTCAAAAATTATACAAACGTCAGTTTATAAAATAAGCGTTGAAACAGAAGATCAATTTACTAATATTTCGAATGCATAGGGTGTCCGAAAAGTCACTAGTAATCGAGAAACGAGGGATTCCTGAGGTCATTCGAAGCAACTTTTTCTTTAGCGCAAATGCAATCTGCGGTTTTGTTTACAAGTTATTGGGTTGACAAGAAAGTAATTTCGGTTTGCATCAATAGATCGCGTTATGTTTGCGTTGACATTCTTTTTTGTTAAGATTATAATTTTTTTGTCTTCAGCTTTGGTAGTTGACGCGTTTAGGTTACTACGGAAACAAATTCCGTGTAGTTTTGTTTACAAGTGATAGTTTATTGTCAATTTTAACATGGAGTGCAAAAATGAACATTTTCGACACATTTTACGTTTTTATTTTAATAAAGGCAAGAAAGGGGCCGAGGTTCACAAAGAGGTACGCGATGTTTGTGGCTTGTTTAACAGAACGTTTAACGTTCGATTGTTTAACAGAACGCACGTGTCAAAATTGGTTCAAAACATTTCGTTCCGAAGATTTTTCGCTTAAAGATGACCAACCTTCTGGTCGACCTTCTGGAGTTGGTGCTAACAAAATCAAAGCCATGTTTCGGACTTGTTAAGAAGCTCGATGTTTGGATACCGTACGAATTGAAAGAAATTCATTTGATACAACGACTCAGTATTTGCGATACGCATTTTAAACGTAATGCAATCGACCCTTCTTTGAAACGAATTGTCACTGGTGATGAAAAATGGATAGCTTTCAATAACATTAATCGAAAAAGGTCATGGTCCAAGCGTGATGAATCAGCACAAACCATATCGAAAGCTAAATTGCATCAGGAAATGATCATGCTGTCAATTTGGTGGGACTGTAAAGGCGTTGTGTATTTTGAGCTGCTTCCAAGCAACCAAACGATCAACTCAGATGTTTACTGCCAACAACTTATGAAATTGGAGGAAACAATCAATGTTAACTATTACAGTCCGCGATAAAAAGATGGCACACTTTAAAAACAAATGATCTTGATTTATTTAATATTGCAATCAAGATTTCGTTTACATACAAACTTGCAAGACAACAATCAAAGTGAGAAGGCCAAAATTGGCAAATCGCAAAGGAATCGTGTTCCACCACAACAATACGAGGCCTCATATATCTTTAGCAATACGCACAAAATTATTGGAGCTGGGTTGGGAAGTTTACAAAACTTTTTGAATGGCAAAAATTTCAATAATAATGATAACCTCAAATCGCATTTGATTGATTTTTTTACTGATAAGGACCAGAAGTTTTATGAGCTCGAAATCACGAAGTTAACAGAAAGATTGCAGAAGGTAATCGAACAGAATGGAAAATATTTGACTGATTGAAGTTCATTTCTTATATAGCAAAAACTGAGTTCTATTTCACATTGAAATACCGAAATTACTTTCCTGCCAACCCAATGTTAACGAAAAACAGCGACCAATGAGAGGCGAACTCGCTTTGCGCGAGGTTTCCGAACCAATTAGCGAACTGGACTTCGACCGCTCGTTGGTTTAGCCGCCAAGCGACAGCCTCATTGGTCACTGTTTTTCGTTAATAACTCGTAAACAAAGCCGCGGATTGCATTTTCGCTAAGAAAAAGGTTTCTTCAACTGATCTCAGGAACCCGATTGCGAGTGACTTTTGGGAGTAGTTTCCCAATGTTCGAAGCGAACTTCCTTTTTTACACTTTACAAACATAATTTTTGATCGAATTCTTTTAACAGAAAAATACGTTTGATCAAGTAAACTACTTAATATATAATAATAATAAGGTATAATAATAAACACTTTTAAAGACTTGCAACTAACATTACGTCATTAAGTATCAAACGCATAATTACTCTATAATTTTACTGTACAATTTATTATATATGCAATATTAAACTATATATTTATACTGTATATAATATAATATTATACTGTATGTATATTTCATGCTTAATGACCTATTATTTCGTGACAGTAACTCTGTATTTTAAAAATTTCGACAAAATGTCATGGCATGAAATTAATTAAATTTATATGACAATTGACAGAAGTAGGTTTCTTTTTATTCTACCATAAATCATTTTCATAATATCTGCATTTACAAGAAAATAATACAGTAATTACTTCGCCGGAATAAATACGTGTAATTTTAGAAATGTAGATTCAATTAGTCACATGCTTGTTCACGGATATACTTTCCAATGGATAAATAATCATAAAAATAATTCCATTACTCCTACACGTTTATTTCCGACGTCTTTTGTTTCCCCGTTCCTTTGTAACGCATATGTCAGGTGTAGAGAATTTTCCAATTAGCTTCACATAAAAATTACTTCAGCCATTTCGAGGAAAATATTCTCTTGTCGTTTCACAGTCTTGATTATTATAAGTCTGATATTGGCATCCCCGGCATAGCCTGTGAACGTGAATGCTGGAGAAGAGCAAAAATGGCTATTTACTGGTCGAGAAATGATTTTGCTTCATAACGCGCGGCTATAGGCAGCAAAAGCGACGAAGTATGTCGTCTTCTCCCATCACAGAGAAATACTCCTTCAAGCAGCTTATTTGCCCAACATGGCACAGTGACGAAGTTACGTAAAAATCAAAGAATTTTTTATGGAAATGAGATACAGCGATGATTTTTTTTTCGTTAAACCTGAAATATTGCAGAACATGGGAAAAGTAAATAAAATGCGGTATAAACATTTCTTAACCTTGAAAATTTATGTTATGCTTGAAATATTCCGACAAAATTGTTATATATTTAAAAAGATTAATGGAAAATATTATTATGTTATTGGACTATAAAAATTTGTCCAATAATTTTTTACATGACATGTTACACATCATTTCCAGTGGATTTTGACACGTTGATTTCAATTCCGGTCGCAAAATTTACCTACCACTTTGGACTTTGGTAAAAAAACGATATTAGTGAAAAATATGTTGAAATCGTGATTTTTTCGTTGAAGTGATTCGATAAACAGCTCATCTGTTTTAAAAATTCCGAGGTGGTAGATAAATTTAGTTACCGGATTTGATATCAGCGTGACAAAGTCTACGGAAAATGATGTATAGCATATCATTTAAAAATCGTATTTTAACCGACAAACTGAATGAAGTGTTAACAAAACTTTATATGTGAAGAAAATGTATCCTAGGATTTCCATTATTATTTATATGTTGTTCTACGGATATTAACATTCTTTTTTATATCTTTACACGTTTCAACATAATATGAATCATTTCAAGTAATTATGTTTGTAAAGAATTTTCTAACTTATGAAAACAATTGTTTACTTTCGCTTGAAAGTTACATTAATTTAATTTATTTGCTAGAAACGCGTTAGCGAATGTGTATGCAAGCAAATGTCACATAGTCGAACAATAAAACATTTATTTGAGTTAAAAAAACAATTCTTCCTTCTCTGTGAATGACCCCATATCTCGTTTTACATGACGTAATATTAAACGATGCTAAATATTTCGATGATCAAACTAGCCTAATTATTTTCCAATAAAGTTACAACTTTACTCCATCATCGAAATAAGTTTAGTTTACCACTTGCCGTATTAATTTCGACATAAAAACATCGAAATTGTCCGTTCAACTTGAATCACTAAACGTGACAGCTAGCACAAAGTTTGAAATTTTACATACAATTTGAATCGCTAACTGAATGTAGCAGCTTTCTGTGAACAAATGTTGCGAGCTCGCTGTGAACTGTGAGAATTTCGTATTCGTCGCTATTGATATTCGAGAAACTACATTCGAAAAAATATAATGCTTCTTCCATATTTTACAATCTTCCCCTCATTCTGGAAACGCTGCGACGACGTCTGCGACTCCGTGCAGAATAATTTTGCCGCGGAAATTGCATGAACCCATGTAAATTAACTCTTCGCCGCCGTAATATTTTTCGGCATGGATATTCTGTTAGTCGAAATTATTTTCGCTCGTATGCGGGTAGTCGCAAGCTTAATTAATTGTTGCCAGAAAAACTCGTGAATTTTACTTAAAGAAATTATAATAATCTAACGGCAGATATAATATTCTTTAGTATAATACACGAACGTATGACATTTTACTCAGCCAGCGACGACGTGAAATTTCGATGCTAATGGAAAATTAAGTTCACTCGATTTTCAATTTATGCGAATTATCTTTTTAATAAAAAATATTATTTACATACAATATGAGCTCTTTTTTAATTCTTTGATGATCTGCAAAAAATTATAGAATAGGAAGGAGAGAAATTCAATCAGATCAGAAATTCATTGCAATAGTATATTAATATATTAGAGATTCAACGGTTTTCAACGGAAATGAACAAATTTGGACAATTTGGCTCCTGTTCCCAAATTGTCAATTTTTGTTTACAAGCTGAAGAAAAATTAGAAAGAATTTACTGTATTTAGATTTAAAGTTTTCACATGAACATCCTGTATATGTCATCTATATATGATTGTGTGCAAATTTTAAATTAAAATATCTCAAAAACTAAGGTCCATTTTGAAAAATCCTGTTAGAGTATTTTGATACTAGGTACGCGCGTATTGCAACATTAATCCACTCCCCTTACGAAAGCTCCCTTTCCTTTTGTCAGTATTGTTAACTATTACAGTCCGCGATA